CACTGTCACTAACATTAGATCAAGACTACCTATTACTACTCTACAACTCTCCTACATTTTGAGCATTAGTACTTACTATTGTGTCAATCTCTTTTCTTTACTCTAACCCTTTTACATTTTTAAATTTTAAACTTTTTAAACCCTTTTAAACTTTTGCCACCCTTCTTCTATTCATTACCCCTTTTAGTTTAGTGCTGATTCCTTTGTAGTATAAACATAGACCCTTCTACACTGACTACCACCCCTACTGTTCTACTAGATTAGTAGTTACAAGCAGAACTAGCTTAATACATACAGACCTCTATCTAAGAGGCCTTTACTAACTACATGCTCTCAGCCCCTTCAGAACCTGTTCTAATCATTCTAGAAGTTACAACCTGTTCTAGAAAGAAAGTACATATAGCCTACCCTTTAGACTTTAATAGATAGTACTTTAAGGACTTCTAGTACCAAGTTGAACTATATGTGGCTACTACTTTGACCAATCTATTCTCAGATCTTGATTGTGTCCTATTTGTCCTCTCCTTTATAAAGGAAGGCAACACAACCACTTGGGCCTAGAACTGGATCAAAGGCTATTGAATTAGAAGCCTGATCTAACTTTAGAACAATAAGTTGTATTCAGAATTTATAAGACAGCTCTGTACTTCCTTCATTAATCTGAATAAGAAGTATAATACACAAAACAAGCTTGTGTCTCTGTGACAGAGCAAACATTCTACTAATACCTTCTTTCAGGAGTTTGATATCCTAGCCTAGAAGGTAGGATTTACACTCAGGTTTGATAATGTCCTTATTAGAATGCTTGAAAAAGCTCTTCACCTAGAACTAGTTAATAAGATCCTTAGAATAACACTAGAACTGGTTACTTACACTAAGTAGAAGACACACACTATTTCCTTCAACTAAGCTACAGCTTGAATGTATCAAGTCTGTATAGAATGTCTACACATGTGTTTAGCTCTGACAGTTCTAAGCTCTCAGATTAATCTGCCTGTAATTTACAATTAATCAGTTCTAATAAACATTAGAGAAGTCTAAAAGTAAGGAGTATGCTTCACCTACAGAAAGTCAGGGCACCAGATTAAGGACTGTCTGTAGAAGTAATAGTATATCTGTCAGGTCATTAGAGTAATAATGAGTGACAAGTAGGTTTTATAGTAAGAAGCCTTTTCTACAAATCTAGAAGTTACCTTAGAACTCTTAGACTCTGACTATATACTTTAGGATTTTGTAGAGACCTAACAGTAAATGTAGTACTGAAGAGCTATGACTCAGATTTTTTAATAACTACTTTTGATTCAATAGACACTGTAGGATTAGAAGTAAATAAAGTAAGAAAAGTAGAAAAAGTAGAAAAAGTAGAAAAAGTAGAAAAAGTAAATCAACAAAATTATTTATTAGAAAGAAAAAAGTTGAAAACAAAAGTAGATAGTTCTCTTATTTCTTCTGATTCTTTTGATTCTTCTCTTTACACTTTATCCAAGTCTAAATCCACACAATCTAACCTACTACTTCTGTATTCTAAAATCTTAGAACATTCAGAATACTACTTAGCCCTGTTTACTACTTAGTAGTTTGTCTGTAGTATTAAGTAGGGATAGTCTCAGCTGAGTTCACAGCTAAGGACATGAGTCTGTCCTTGTTGAAAGAGAGAGGTTAATAAGGAAATGTTAGTGTATATACTTACTCTCTTAAACAATAAGACTGTACAAGCTGTACATTCCTTTTAGAACAAGTAACAGTTTATCTGAGAACATTCTAGACACTAGCTCTAGGTCCCTGTCCTCTTAGCTCTCTTCTTAGAATCCTTTCAGATCTAAACAATAGTTCTAGTAAACAGTAGATACACTAGTTTGTGTATTAATAAGGCCTTTGTGTAGGAACACTACCTTCCTACTTAATGTGTTCTACTTCTAATCCTAGTATACAATGTAGACAGAACCCTAAACTGGAATAGTCAGATTACTAAGTTTGTCCAACTATGGATGACTATTTAGGATTATAAGGAAAGTATTAAGTTTAGAGTTACTAACCTTAGAAAGACAAACATCTTTATTAGATTTAAATGGCTCAAGGCTTACAACCCTACTATTAACTAGTTAGAGTAAACACTTATGTTCAATCAGTGTTCTAAGTCTTACAGTTACCTTGTACTACTATTCTAAGTAGATATAAATACTTCTAATGTTACTAACAGTTCTGATAAAGGTGACTAGTTGTTCTTCTTCAACTAGGATAGATATATAGATACATATTCTAGTTAAGGTAGAATAGAGTCAATCTGAAGGATGTCTGAGATGGAACCAGTCTAGAACCCTCTCAGAACAACTCTACTCTAGAACACACATAGACCCAGCCTGCCAGATTTTGTCTAAGAGTTTCTCAAAGTCTTTAGTAAAGAGGAATTTAACTAGCTTCCTAAATACTGTCTCTAGAACTATACAATTGAATTGACTGAGAGTTTCTAATCTAAGGATTGTAAAGTCTACTTACTCAACAGAGACAAGTAGGAGGTGCTTAACAAGTTCCTTTAGGAAAATCTTCAGAACAGTCAGATCTAACCCTTAAAGTCCTTTATAGTCTCCTCTTTCTTCTTTGTCAAAAAGAAAGATAGGAAGCTTTGTCTAGTCTAGGATTATTATTGTCTTAATAAGGGTACTATTAAAAACAAGTACCTACTCCCCCTGATTCAGGAGCTTATTAATAAGACACATACATTCAGAGTTTTTACTAAGTTAGACATTTAATAGGGATACAATAATATTTGGATTCAAGACAGAGATGAGTGGAAAGCTGTGTTCTAAACTAATTACAGATTGTACAAACCAACCATAATGTTCTTCAGACTAACTAACTTGCTTACAACATTCTAGTCATTCATGAATCATATCCTTACAGATCTGATTGACTCAGAGTATGTTAGTGTGTATCTGAACAACATTCTAATCTTTACTTAGACAGTCAAGTACTACTACTAACTAATCTAAGCAGTTTTACAACAGCTCTAAAATAATAAACTGTTCCTCTAAGAAGTAAAGTACTCTTTTGTATAAGAGTCAGTAGATTATCTAAGCTTTGTAATTAGTAGAGGAGAGGTCTGTATGAATCTGGCAAAGGTAACTACAGTTTAGAACTAGCTACAACCTTAGAACCTGAAACAGGTTTAAGTGTTCCTTAGGTTTGCAAACTACTACTAATACTTTATTTAAGGCTTTAGTACTATTGTCTAACCCCTTCACAATCTTACTAGCAAAGATGTTCCTTAGTAATAGAATGATTAGTAGTAGTCTGTATTTAAGTCTCTCAAGCAGGCTATTACTAGTAAGCCTGTATTAGTAGTTCTGACAGTTGTAGACAAGTTCTGAGTTAAAGCTAACTCTTCTGACTTTGTAAATAGAGTAGTACTGTCCTAGTTTATTAATAGAAAGTAGTATCCAATAGTATTCTGATTAGAATCCCTCTCTGTAACAGAACAGAACTACTCTATTTATAACAAGGAACTCCTTACAATTGTCTGTTCCTTAGAGGAGTAGTGTTAATATCTCCTTAGTACTGTACAGAAGTTTGAGATTTAGAGTGATCACCTTAATCTCTAGTACTTTCAGGCACCTCAGAAGCTTAACTACTACTAAGCCTACTAGATGTTAGAACTGTAGGACTATAACTTTGTACTGACTCACAAACTTAGAACACAAATAACAAAAGCTGATTTACTCTAAGACAAGTAGGTTATGAAAGGGGGGAGAATAATAACAAAAATCTTATTCTCCTAGACAATTCCTGTTTCATATTTAAGACAATCTAAGAGATCTGACTCAAATCTGAGGATGTTAACTTTGTCACCTGTATATAGTAAGCTTTAAAACACATACAGAACTAGGTTATAGTAAAGCAGTTAGAGAAGTAGGCTAGGGATTAGGAGGAGGATGAGGATGGACAGGTTTACTAGGAAGGCTGACTGTATGTTCTAAAGGATCAGAAGCTGTAAGAGGACATTGTCTGAGCTCATCACAACAATCTGACTGTAGAACATCTGGGCTAACACAAAACATAAGAACTCATTACTTAGAACTACTAGTAGTCAGGAATGTAGAGGGAAATCCTAAAGTACATGACTGGTTATAATACATACTAACAGACTAAGACCTACCAGACCAGGGTTTAGACTCTTCTACATCTGTATTAGATCCTGGATTACTCTTAGGAAGAAGTCTTAGTAGACCTGATTAGTAAGCTACTCAAGTCTTAGGGTTACAACACTATTTACATAATTGTTAACTGATTCTTTAAGCAAGTCTATATAGTTCTGACCTGAACAGAACTCACTTCTGAAAGTATAACATACATTTATCAGAATTATGTCTTCTAGTTGTACAGACTCCCTCAGAAGCTTATTCACAATTGTAGACTGTAATTCAAGTTGAAATTCATACAGGACTTGTATACACTTCTCAGAATTTAAGGGAACCCTTCTACTACATATTACTTACAAACTGACAGTCAAACTGAGTAAGTCAATTAGGAGATTGAGCTCTACCTTTAGATGTTTATTAATCATCAGTAATCAGATTGGTCTGAATAGTTAGCTCTGACAGAATTTGTGTATAATAACTAACAACACTCTATAACAGAACAGTCCCTATTCTTCCTCAATCATAAGAGACATTTGTACTAGAGGACAGTTCTAAACTGGAACAGTAGTTCTGAATCTGTAACAGACTTTGTAGAACAGATACACAGAACTAGAGAGGACACACAAGCTCTTTTAGAGAAGGTAGTATAGGTTATAAAGTAGAACTATGATTAGAAGAGGTCTGTAGCCAAGAATTACTAGCCTAGTGACAAGATTATGCTAGAAGCTACTAATCTGACCTTGAATCACCTAATGAAGAAGTTGGACAACAAGTACTTTAGACCCTTTATTATTAAAAAGAAGGTTAGTGCCTCTGTCTACAAACTCTAACTTCTAACAACATAGAAGCACATACACTCAGTGTTTAATAAGGTTCTGTTGTCTTAGTACTATGATCCCAGTTTTCCTTCACAACAAAGACCCCCTCTGCCTCTACTAGAACTTATTAACTCTAAACCAGAATACAAAGTAGAGTACATAGTAAATACTAAACTACTGTGTAGAAAACTCAAATTCCTTGTTCACTAGAAAGGGTACCCAGTTGAGGAGCACACTTAGGAACCTGCTAAGAACCTTACTCATACTTCTAAGACAATCTGAGATTTCTATCAGCTTCATCCTAGTACTCTACACAAACTCAGCCTTACAGATTTCCAAGCCCTACTGTTCTGACCTATGTCTAAGCTACTAACTAAGTCTAATGTTCACTAATCAGGACAATTGGTTTTAGAGGGGGGGTAATGTTACAATTCTCTACTCTCTTACCTTCAGTTTTAAGGGTTCTATACCCTTCTGTACTGGAACTCAGGACTTCTGTCCCTCAGGAGTACTGTCTATAAACTATATGTATACTAACTCTTACTACTACCCTTCCTTACTTCATCATTCTATTCCTTTGACCACCCCTTCATTCTTTGTTCATTCTATAGTCTCTTACCCTTTGTCCATCCCTTCATTCTTTGTACCTTTATCTTTGACCTTCTTGTTCTTTCATTCTTCATAGCTTATCATTCTTAGTAGCTCATACTCCCTAAGTACTCTTGTGTAGTTTAGTATATATAGGTGTACAAGATCAGACTGGTTCTGTAGTCTTGATCTTGTCTACTCTAGGTAGTCCTGTACTCTTAGACTCACTCTATATACTCTACTCTTGTCTCACTCTCTCTCTCTACCTGTTCTACAAGTTCCAACTATGTTCTAGTACTTACATTCTGTATTTCTGTTGTGTAGGATAGTTGTAGCCTGGGTCCTCTTGCTGAGCCTTTGGGTCCCCTCTAAACTGTTGCTGACAGTTTTCTTAAGGGTGTCAACATGGTCACAATTCATAGTCTACATGGGAGTTGCTAGAAGGGCCAAAAAATACAAAGCCAACTGTTGGCTTTGACACACTCAGCAATTCTCTCTCTATGAATAAAAAATTATAGATTAAGTGCAAGCATACCAGCAACATAGCTGAAAGGAGAGATTCCTCTGTTTTCAGAAGTTCTCAGAGTTGGACAATAGGTGTAATTTGCCTGCATAGGAAGCCTGCTCATTGTTTCAAAGGAGACAAATCAAAAATCAAAAATAAGACAGGCTCAGAGATGCAAATTGAAAGGACAAGCAAGCAACTACAGAGATACTCGACTTTGAAGGTCATGTGAGAGACACAGATACATTATAATCATGACTAACTCAAATGCTTTGAGAGAACACCAGTGTGCTACTGTTGTGGAAGTGCAATTCAAAAAAGACGTGCTCGGCCATACGAATATCTGTACATCCAGGGAATCATAACATCATACACAAGCAAACGGTGTACCTGGTTGAATCGAACGGGTGAGAGTAGACAAACTTACTCGTATTGACACTCTAGATACTCTTATGTTCAGTACTTGCGGCAGATATTTTGGTCAGCAGGAAAAGGTGAGCTTTCGTACATCAATTCCAAAAATGCACCTGTCCCTGTTGCCGTTGAATCACATGCAGTATTGTGCAGAAAAGCTCAAAGAGATAGAATGAATGCGTAGTAATTGACCGCCGGCTTTACTCAGTACTGGGCCGGGACTGGCGTGTGGGAACAAAGTCATGTGCTCATCACATGACCGTACCATCGTTCTAATTTAGGGCTAAGCCACGATGAGCCACCTACCACTTCTTACCATTCACTGCACGCTTGTCTGAAGACCTGGTATCATGGCACTTTTCAAAGACTACTTACGTGAACATGCTAAATTCTATTGCCCACCCGTCGACAGTCACCAGACGGGAACCACCGCCGTGACTGATACTGAACTTCAGCAGGTGTACAATCGCTGGGAATCAGATCAAACAATAATAGAAGCTCGCCATGATGCACAATTGGTTGATGCACTTATCAATGTTCTTGATGAAGAGCTTGGTGAGAACCCTACTCCAGAGGACCTCAACGGATGGCTCCAGCAACGGTATCGCTTCGACATGCGAGCTAGCAATGTCATTGAAAAGGAACCAGATGTGAGGTGCATCCCTTGTCATGAAGCCATGTTCCTCACATATATTCTTAGGCAAGGGTCGCTATGGACCGTGGACCTCTGGACTTCTTAGAACAAAGTATGTTAGCTTGCGGGAATCGCATCCAGATCGAAAGGGATAACCCGCCTCTTAATGCCGGCAAATCTAACGTCGACTATGTATTAACCACAACGGAAGGCAAGAAGGCGTTGGCTGAAGTAAAGGCTCCAAGTATCTTTGACAAGGCTGCAGAGGAACTTCTTAAACCGTCCAATGACGAAGTTGGCTTCGAGGTGCAACTGAATTTGCGGTTCCCGGAGGTAGGAATGAAAGTCATTATCAAGGTGTGTAATTGAAGGGCATTCAAGACTATTGCCGCTGAATTAATCCCCTCAGGTGTGTGTGTACATGATGATATACAGGGTGGAGTGGCTCGCGTTGTCATGCTTTACAAAGTGGGTGTTCTTCCGACTCCACCTTCGTGGTGAAGGCGAACTACCGTACGTCACGTATTCGACTATTGAAAAGCAAGAGGACAATACCAGGCCATTCCGTGCATTGTTCGGGATGATGCTAGCTACTGCAATGAATGTCGACGTCCCCTCCAACGCTGTCATGGACGGCCAGCTTCGGCCAGCTCCAGTACAAGGAACTGAGGGACAGTCTGACGGATCCGAACCGCCGGAGCAGTGCGATCCATCTTTTAAAGGTCGAGGCCAAGTGACAAGGGCTGAGCCACCAGAAAATCGGTCTCGTAGTAATGGTGGCAATTCATTGGCTTTGTCTCCTGGCTTTCTTGTGAGTTTTTTTTCCAATTCATAACTTCATCGATTGAACCATTCTCAGGTCACGTGGTCACCAAAAACCATGTCGAATAAGAAGTGGCTTGAATTTCATGTTGTGGACACTGATGCATTCCCGGCTTTGAAAAAAGACACCATTCGACTTTATGTTCAGCGCAGTATTGGATATGGGTCAACCGGGACTGTTTTCGAGGCGATTCCTGATGGCGATGAACAAATTGGAGCTTTAGAACGTCGGAGATATGCAATTAAGACGGTCGGGAAGGGTGATACTGACAAAGAGAAGGGTTGTGCTCGACGTCTGCTCAACGAACTCGCTATATATCGCCTCATCTGTCAGACATCCTCAGTATCTATGACGATTGTTCCACAGTGTTATGGACTTTTCGAAACAACGCGAACACTGGCATTGGTGGTGGATTATGGAGGCGATGTCCTCAGTCGTAATGAGAATTGGCCAGAACTGACACGCAATGAGAGGTGAGTACAGCGGTCATTCGCGTGTGTGCAAAATTAACATCATTGAAAACGCTGTAGGCATAAGCTGTACAATGCAATATTAGCACTCCACAGACTTGGGGTTTATCATGGCGATTTGGAACCCCGGAATATTGTCCGTGGCAGCGACGGATCGTTCAAAATCATCGACTTCACATCGAGCACGTTACATAACTGTGGTCAGTGTAACGTCAGTTTATTTATGATATTTCCTATGCCGTTCATTGCTCACTACTGGTAATTAGCAGGGTTGCGCAGAGTTGGCTCGAATAAGAAAGCAGCTTCGACTGTATGATGAAAAGGTCCAACTTCCAGAAAGTCGACTTGCTCGTTCGTCTTCACCATTCCATAATGTCATGTAATGAATCAGTTAATATATTCAGTTCATTTTAATTCTCTCGTTCGTCCTTTCCTGAGAGGGTCAACTCTGGTACGCTAGATATTATGTTTCTCTATTGGAGCAATCGGGGAGTCTAGCACATGAAAAGCCAGTATTTTGAAGTTTGCATAGTATCAACTCTCGATGCTCTTAACTATTCTCTGTATACGTGGAAGTCACGGACAAATGAAAAAGGCCCTGGTATAAGGTATTCATGTCCCTTTCCTACCGTACATATCTGCCATGCTCTCCGCTTCGTGCCTTCTCTGCAGGTGCATAAAAGAAGGTTCTTTTAATGTGGTAAAGAATCACGTGAGACATAATTTATGTTGCTTCACTCAGAATCACTGCAATTTGTATCCGCCATCACTGCAAGCCGTCTGTTGTTCCAACGCTATGACGCTCTTCAAAGCTTATCTACATGAACATGCTTATTTCCACTGTCCGCCTGTCAACAATCACCAGACGGATTTAGCTGTTGTGAATGATGTTGATCTTGAGGTTGCGTTGTCTCGCTTCGGAGTGGGTTCGAATGTCGCACAGATAGCTGCCCGCCACGATCCACACATGGTCGACACTCTTATCCAAAAACTAGATGAAATTCTCGGTGACTGCCCTTTACCAGAGACTTTGAAGGGGAGCTTCGAGGATCGATATGACACAGATGTCATTTGGGATGACGTGATCAATAAAGAGGTAGATGTAAGCATTCAGTCTCACTACTAGTATTCAAATGAGGATATATCTCATTGTCGTTCAGGCCAGGGCCAATGTAGATCGTGGACCTATTTCAATGCTGAGAATAACCATGGCACACCTCGGGAAACGTATTAGAATTGACAGACAAGTCCCACCTCCAGATGCTCGATCAACAGTCGACTTTATGTTATCCGTACGTACTCCAGAAACAGTGGAAGAGGCATCAAAGAAGGTTCTAGTTGAGATTCAAGCTTCCGACGTCTTTTTCATTACTGAAAGCAAACATCCTGCATCGTCTGAATCTGACATGCCTAATTGCCCGGCTGGCTTCAGTATAAGCTTGAATTCGCTGTCAGGTTCAAATGCATTGAAAGTAATTAGTATTGGCTGCAACATCCAAGACGGCATTACTGAATCAATTTTCTAGGTATTCGTTCATATGAGCTTGTACAGCTCTGAATGGCTTGCATTAACCTGTCATACGAAATGGGTTTTCTTTCGACTTCACACTCATGGCCCGGGGGAAGCACCATACGTCACTTATTCCGCCGTCGAAGAGCAAGAAAACAACACCAGGCCCTTCCGTGCCTTGCTTGCAATATTGTTGGCCTTTGTGGGGAATATTGATGCCCCATCCTCAGTTCACCTGGGTGAAAGGATTAATGGCTCTGAAAACTACCACACTCAAAAGACCTAGAGGACACATTTTGGAGACAGTGTTCGATGACTTGGATGAGCCCAATATTCACCTGTTGTGGGTCACTGCAATGTCATTCATCACCATCGTCGTCTCGCTTCCTCGTAGGACCTTTATTTACTTTCCTCTCAGCACTGTACCTTGACAGTTCTATTTTCATATGGGTCGAGAGGAACGTGCTTGATCGTTCGACTATCTATTACGTGTATCATAACGCCACATATCCATGTTTATCCCAATAGGTGGCACTGTACAAACTTACTCATACTATCACTGCAGATACTTTGGTGCCTCCGAATGACCTGCTGGACACAACTGCAACGAAATCGGGTACAATGCGCACGGACGATTACTGCAATAACGTTCACGAGAAAGGTTAGCCTTTGTACGTCGGGGAAACGCAGCATATTGTTCGTGTTTTCATCGGATAGATATACAAGTTTTTAAAATATGTGTCAAAACTTGTAATTGACAGCGGCTTACAGCCATAGGGACAAGGTCATGCGCATGTCACATGGTCGTGCCATCGTTCTAATGCGGCTAAGACTCTCTTTACCACTCTCCTGTCCTGTAACTTCGTCTGAAGGCCGGATGTCATGGCACTTTTAAGAGACTACCTACGTGACCACGCTAAATTCTACTGTCCATCCGTCGACAGCCACCAGGAAATAGTCTCCGCCGTTAATGATGTCGAAGTTGAGCAAGCGTTGGCTCGTTGGGACTCGAATCATGCAGTAATAGAGGCTCGCTACGATGCACAATTGGTCGATGCACTTATCAATGTTCTCAATGAGGAGCTCGGTGAAAAACCTATCCCAGATGTGGTCGACGGATTGTTCGAGCAACACTATCGCAGAGACATGGGGGGAAATCGTGTTATTAGAAACGAACCAGACGTACGCTCCATCCCTCGTTATGAAGCTATGTTCCTCATCTTATATTATTAGGCCAGAGACGCTGTAGTGCGTGGACCTGTGATACCTCTCGAACTAATTATGTCATCCTGCGGGGATCCCATTAAGGTCGGCAGGGAAATCCCGGCTCCGAGTGTCGGATCTAAAGTAGACTTTCTCTTTACCACGACGGGGGAGAGGAAGGCTTTACTCGAAATGAAGTCTCCACGTGTCTTCGATATGGCTGCAGTTGTGCTTTTTGGACCGCCCAAGAACGAAGATGACGAAGATGGCCTTGACGGTGAAGATGGCGAAGATGACGAAGATGACGAAGATGACGAAGATGACGAAGATGATGAAGGCGGCGAAGTTGGCTTCAAGGTAAAGTTGGATTTGGACGACCCCAAGACAGGAATGAAGGTCGTTATGAAGGTCTGTGAGGTTGAACGACAGTCGAGAAATTTATTGATTAATCAAATATCCCAGGCGTGTGTGTACATGATCTTATTCGGATCAGATTGGCTTGTGTTGTCGTGCTTCACAAAATGGGTGTTTCTTCGACTCCACAGCCGTGGTGTAGGCGTATTACCTTATGTGACATATTCGACTATTGAAAAGCAAGTAGACAATACCAGGCCGCTCCGTGCATTGGTTGGGATGATGCTTGCTATTGCAAGGGACATCGATGTTCCCTCGAACGCCGACATGGACGGGCGGCTTCGGCCAATTCCAGCCGATTAAGGAGGATTATGATACATTCACGCCGCCGGGGCGTCCCGATCCCGATCCCTCTTGTAAAGGCCGAACCCAAACGATAGGAGCGGAGCTGCCAGTCACCAGTTCTAGCCGGATGTCACGGCTATTTATTGTCTTTCAGTTTCCTTGCTCGAATTTCGAACTTTCAAATGCGTTGCTTTCTTGATTAAGCTATTTTCAGGTCACGTGGTCACCAGAATCATTCCGAATA